CATTTAACCGATTGGTCGCACACGTCGACAGTCTACCGGTTCGTATTTGAATTTTGATTTGCATGTTGACGTTTCTAATTTGAACATCGGTTGCCATTTTACACGATGTCATTGCAAATTTCGAGAATGTTATTGCGACAGCACAAAGAATTTACCATGATGTTTCATGTCAAAGATAACACACCGAGAAACAGCTGTCATGTTTACATTCTGACAGAGGCTCCAAAATTGTGTGCTCCTACCGATTTTCTGTTCTGTCTTCTCGATTATATTCTTTTTTCTGCTTTGAATGGTCATTTATGAACCAAACATCAACCACAATGTCGTTGGCACAAGTCCAACTTTTTTGAGATTTGTTTGGAGCATAAGTAATGAAATGAGAGCCAAGTTTTTGTCTGCATCGTTTCAAAATTCTTAAATAAATATGGGTCAGTGGCTGTCTCAGGTCAAGAAATCAACATTGATGAAAAGAAGAAGAAAGGAACGAAAGAATTGTGTGCAGTTCCTGCAATTTGTTACCTTATTTCAATAACGAGATATCTGAAAGAATGAAAAAGCAGTCGCTTGGCAAAAATGTGTGAATAAATCTGCGATATATCTGTGCATTCTGCATTCATTGTGCCAGATTATGAATATATTCCAGGCGAGAAATATGTTTCAATGGAAAATGCCGGAGTTATTTAAACACATTTCCTCGGAAATTCCTCCCCTTCTAACCCCATTTGGCCAATATCTCCCACCGTCGAAGCTGAGAACAATCGCCGGGAACGGTGTCATGTTTTGGCTTGGACGTGAAAAAGAATTATGGACGCATCGAAACAATGAAGAGAGAAACTGAAGCGTGTACATTCTTCTCTTCTTGCCTCTATCGGGCACATTGAAGCGACGTTTGCATTTTGGCACTGAAATTTATATTCACATGCACACCGAAACCGGTTTATATTGCATTCGAATTATGCGCAAGCTGTTCGTGTTCATTCAGTGGTCATTGTCCTAGAAATTGAGAAATAAGAGAGAAAACTCGGAGAAAATTCAGGCAAATTATTGATTTTCTGATCAAGTTCTGCCATTTCGCACCTTAGCTACCGTCTTCACCAAATATCCCAACAATTATAAAATAATAATTCATGTCGAGGCAAACGAGCACAGCCTCCGTTCCAATATCGTTTACGCAATCGTTCTCTTCGTCTCTTGCTCTTTCGGATCGACACTGCAAAAAAAAAAATTTTTAAAAAAAATTGCCAAAAAACTTCTCTCATGCACACATAGTACACGCAATTTTCGGCCAAGAGATACGAAAATAAGCAAGCCGTAGTGCAAAAGAAAGAGAAGGCGAGAGAGAAAAAAAACGACGACAACGACATAATAAAGCAATAATTAACGGAACACACAAAATTAAATTTATGGCAAAAGCATGTTTTAAATGGGTCCTAAGTGTTCAACAGCGTTTCATAGCAGTACACATTTTTTGCATTTTCTTTCGTTCGCTCTCCGTTCATTGTTCGTTCGCTCGCTCTTTTGCTGTTCCTCCACAAGTCGGTTTTTGGCGAGAACAAGTGGTGAATTTCTCGAGCTACTCACACGAGATACCAGATCTGTTTCGATTTTTAACATGGAAAACAGAACAAGTGACGCCGAAAACTATACGCCCTGTCTCTCTTCCTCTTTCATATATAAAGCACTTGCCAGACAAAAACTAATATAAAGAGCTTAAAACACACAAACCCAGACACACACTAAACACACTCTTCGTCTTCACCGGTTTGGTTTGCTTCGTTTTCGATGAATAGACAAAAAATTTCGCATCGCAATCGAAGTGAACATTAATTTTACTATAAATATTATTAGAGCACTGCAACAAAACCCAAAAACTCAACAATGTTGATGAGAAACAATAGCGACGAAGGCAACGATCATGATAATACCTCTCTTTCTCTGTCGACATGAGAAAGGGCGAGTGAGAAAAAGAGAATGTGGTTTTCCCACTGTTCCTTTCTATGTCTTTTCAATGGTTCCTCGTTAACACTTTTGCCATTTTTATAAAATTCCATGCTCGACGATATGCAACCCGCCACTACTTACTTGTGGCACACCATTCAGATGCTGCTTTTCTCGATGTCAAACTGTAAATTGCTTGCAAATTTAATGCTGAATACTCTTTAAACGCTGAGGACGAACTGCCGACAATAATGCCGCAAATGCCATAGTTGTCGTTATTGTACCGTTATTGGGCGGGAAAATGCCAATCAACACTATAAACAATTTTCAAATCATCCACCCAAACACACACAAATTTGACAGATGAAAACTAACATATATCTCATGCACCTTCCCACTAGATTGAAGACTTTCTACGAGAAATTTTGAATTTTTTTTCCTAAATGTTTTTGTTTAGGTGAGGTTTTTGTTTCATTTTAATTATGACGAATCATCAGAATAGATAGGTAGTACAAAAAATGAAAAACGTGGTAAACTTCAAAATTCAGTTGAAAATTTAATTTATCAATTTTTCTTTTCAGGAAAATTTTCGAGTTGATTCTCGCTTAAATCAAATGATTAATGATATGTACTCACCTGGAATACTGTTTATTTCAAGTTACATAGTTTAACCCCATCCGTTTTTTACTGATACCTATTGTAGTTATTACTTTTCCGTACACAACGTGTCAAGGGAAAGTATAGGAATTGGTTCCGAAAACTTTTTTCGCAAAATTGGTTTAGATCATCATAAAAACTCATGAAACGCGTAGAAAACCACTTTTTGAGACACTTTTCCGTTCGTGTGCCGTCGTCGTCGTTATCGTTGTCGTCGTCGTAGCTGTTTTTAAACACGATAACTCAAAAAATAATTGGGATAATCAAAATCTGGAAATGCCAAAAGTTTTGTATCTGAAAAACTTAGTTTAAGTTCGAAGATGAGCCATTTTCGATTTGATCCAGGGGTACTTGCCCTAAGAAAAACCTCAAAAAATTGACACTTTTGTATGAGAGGTACCCGTCAATCGACTTCGATTGGCTTCAAACTTTCTGGGATTTCATTTTTCGGAAGAAAAATAAGATTCTGAAAGTTTGAAATCAATCGGAATCGATTTACGGGTACCTCCCATACAAATTTTTCGAAATTTCGACTAAAATTACCGATTTTTGGACAATTTCGTATGGGAGGTACCCGTTAATCGATTCTGATTGGCTTCAAACTTTCTGTGGTTTCATTTTTTGGAGAAAAAATAAGATTCTGAAAGTTTCATGTTGATCGCATCTGCAGAAGTTTGATTTTTTGTCCTCAATTTTTGTCGACATTTTTTTGGAAAAAAATTAAGGGACAAAAACCAAACTTCTGCAAATGCGATCAACATGAAACTTTCAGAATCTTATTTTTTCTCCAAAAAATGAACCCTCAGAAAGTTTAAAGCCAATAAGAATCGGTTTACGGGTACCTCTCATACAAAATTGTCGAAGTTTTAGTTAAAGTGACCGATTTTTCACTTTATTTTTATTATTATATTTTCACTGCCTTTATTTCAAGAAAATTCACAAAAAATAACCAAAAGTATTTACGGACAACGAAGGCCAACGGTACGGAAAAGTTCGGGATTACCAATGTAATTCTTTTTATTTTATTATTATTTTTAGTGAAATCATTCATTTATTCATTCGTTCGTTTGAAGCAATGTTTCAATCGAATATATGTATAAAAATATGTTTTTCCAAATGCACGTATTACAATCGCAATACTTGAAATAAAACATTCAATTTGAAATTCAATCGATTGATAGTGTATTCGGTTGCAAAAAAACGACCACGTGTCTTGATATTTTACGTGTTGATTTTGAGTTTTGCTTGAAGTTCGAAATGGGTACTCCATCCACAATAGTAAGTGTACTTACCTCGATTTTGCCAATCGAATGCAAGACTCTTCTCCAAATGGGAAAAAATCAAGTCAGTCTTCCGAAATCCAAGAGAAAAAAAACTACCAAAAAGAGCACTGTATATGTACAAAATATGCTGTTGCTTGCATTAAAAATGTCTGAGTTGATCTAGTGCAAATGACATGAAATGTTGTAGTTGTGAATAATGAATTTGGAATGTTATGTGTTGGCGCACGGAAGCGGCAGATTAGAGTGTTGAATGTTTTATTGGATCAAATTGTTGTATGAATCTAGTTTCGTGAGAGTGCTTTAAATCTGTGAAATAAAATATGAATAGTACGTGCTTTGGGTTTGTTTAATGGTTCAAGCGGTGCATCGGCTGCCAATTCGAAATAATTTAATCATCGCTTTCGTTTCAGAGATGAAAAAACAACTGTACCCAATCGCGTATAAATCACGATATAAAAGCGGAATCATTTGGCTACGATGGCGCAGCGCGTCTGTTCTGGAAGTTGCAACAAAAGAAATCTCATTCATTATTTAATGGATGTTTTTTGGGTGTTTGCGCGAGTAAGTTGACTTGTTCTGGTTCGTCCCACGTGGATCAGGCTGCAATCAATGCAAGAAGAAAAAAAAAGAACATAGAACACACGACTTTTGCATTACAAACAGTTCAAAAAGATGCATGTCGCTCTTTTCAAAAATCTCCCCCATTTTTCGCGGTTCATCTGCTTGCATGAATATTTTATCAGTTTGTTTTTTCCGCTTTCAGTCTGGCAAAATAAAATGAATAAATCTCACAGAGACGGACAAGGAAAGACGGAAGGGATAGCGCGAGGCAAGAGAAAGCAAAAGGGAAAATGGAACAGGGAGAGAATGAAGCGGAGAAGTATGCGAAAATCGAGTCGTTGCATTGTAAAGAAAGCAATCGTTTGCTAGTGACATGTTGAAATGAGAATTACATCGAATGCGCACTCTGTTTTTTTCCATCCCTGTAAAATTTACAAATCGCGAGGGATTGGAAATATTGAGTCGATGAAGAGAGAATGTGCACAAAAAACCCAGTTGGGTAGTGTTCATGACAAGTGAAAATACGGTGTCAGATCAGGGAAAAAAAAGCGAATGCATTAGTTTTATAAACGTAACGAAACGGAACAAAAAAAATAATCTCATGAATTTATTGATAGCTTTGTTCCAATGTGTGTTTTTCAGTTTGCATTTCGGTAAGTTTTAATGGATCATTCCGTATTTAATCCAGCGATTCGCGGCGTTGTGTCTCTTGTATGTCGATGGCAGCCGTTGTATGGGTCGGATGCAAATTCGAATGAATATCGGGCCCGATGGATTTTAAAACGTCACTGAACAACATTTTTTGCTTTCGCACCGTATCGAATGGTTCGAGCCGTTTGCTTCGTCGAATATTTTCATTATTGCCATTTCGGTTTGCCTCAAAATCCACTGGCACATCCAGTTGCGTTGCTGCTAGACCTTTGCTGAAAATTTCTTCGAGCTTTTGCTTAATATTTGGTGGTGCATTGTTTTCAACACCGCCCAGTTCAGTGAGATTGTCGTGGGCTTTTGTTCGCGACAAATTCGCTTTTTTGTTGACACTTTCAAACGGCATGCGGTCTTTTATGGTGCCATCGACGTCAATCACATCGAATGCCGATGGAAATGCTTTTCGGTTTCGACGTCCGACCGTATCATACAGTTCTTGATTAAATGCCGGTGGAATTGGAATTTTCGAAGGAACCTCTTTGGGTGGCAGTCCATTCGACACGGTTTCATCGTGCAAACTCTCTGGAGCGCTAATAGAATGATTCAATGTTGATAATCGCATCGAATGTGGTTGGATTGGACTGCTGAAATTCGATTTTGCACGATTTGGTGTGGCTGCTATTTCATCGCTTTGACCAAACAAATTCTCTAAGCGCATTTTGAATGCCAAACGATCTTTATCGTTTTCGTAGAGCAATTTCTGCCTTGGAAGTGCTTCGTAAACTCCAATTTGGAAATTTGGCGATCGCCTTGGCTTTTCATATACACCGATTGGCCGTATAACGCCAGGTGATGTTACCATTTTATTTGGGGTTAGACACTCGAATGATGATGAATGTTTGAATGGTATCGACGATTCAATTGACGTCGAGTCCAACAGTTCAAATGGAGACGAATGTTCATTTGATGCATGGACAATGGCGCGCACTTCCTTTTCTTCCTCTTCAGTTTCGCTGTTTTCGAATTCAGATGCTGCTGATAGAATTATTAGTTTTGGCTCGGGCTTTGGCCACAGTTCGATGTCATTCTGGTTAAAAACTCGTTCAACAATATTTTTCTCAAGCTCCTCAGTATTCTCGCCAATATTTTCGATATCCTTTGCAGTAACTTCACAATTTTTCATCTCATTTTCCATACCACTTTGAACTAAATCGACTTCCACGAAATAAGCAGTTCCATTTGGTTCACGACGCTCAACACACATATGTTTGATATCATCCACAGAAGATATTTCATTCAGTTTAGAATGATCAATTTGCGGAGGGCTTGTTTTTGGAATTGCTTTAATTTCTGTTCTATTAACATCAAATTCTTCGATTGGACTTTTTGTCACTTCTTCAAGCTCAAATTCAACACTGTCTGTTTCAAATGTCTTGACATCGGCCTTCTTCGGAGGAATTTCGTTTGGTGAACGATTCAAAATAGTTGCATCTTGACTTTGGATCGAAGAATTATCATTTAGTTTTATGGTTTCATTGGAGATTGTCATAGCATTGGCGAAATTATTTTGATTGATTTCCATTTCGGAAGTGAATGCATCATTTGTTACACCGTTTGCCGTCCATTTGTGGTTTTTCTTTTGCTTTTTCGAGATGAAATATAGAAGTATACCTGAACAAAGAAGTTTAAAAAAATAAATATTGAAATCAAAGTTAAGATTCTAAAAACCAATTTTGTAGCGAGTTTTCTAAAGCTTTTGTTTGAAAATTGTCTTCTTTATAATGATATCTGATCGCAAGATATACAGAATTTGACAATACCAGATGAAAAAAAACTTTCATTTCAGTGGTAGCCAATCGGAATTAATTCCAAAACTTACTGAGTCTATCCTATTTAAAAGTTTCAATTCATGTAATTTTTTTAACTCGGTCGAAAATGTTCTCACAAAAACCATCAAATCATTGAAAATAATTGCTAAATTACCAATGGTCATCCAAATAGCTAGTCGAATCCAAGCGGCGACATCGATGGCGGTAAACAGAAAGATGCAGCCGAATAAGACGATGGCCGGAAGAAGTGGATGCGAGAGATTGAGGGAGAAAATTGCATTTCCTTTGGGCTGTGCACCAAGTACGAGAACAATGACCAAAAGACTTACTATTAAAATGGAAATGAAAATCCAGCACAAAGTCATTGAGATGGTAACAGCTTTCGAAATAACGATTTTGATGAGAATGGCTAAAGTTGCTGCCAATAAACCTGGTGGAAAATGTGCAGATAGATAAATTACATACGTTACAAAATGGTAAACTTCAAAAATCGAAAATGCAACTCACAGTAAGCGGAGAGCAGAATTGTGACCAAACTTATGGAACGCGTTGATTTCGTGACTGTTGCCGATGTTCCGTTTTCACATGGATGTTGTTGTTTCAAGCGCCCGGAGTATCTGTGTGGAATAGGGAACAAAAAAGATGAGCGCAAATAAATCAAGTAAAAATTGCGATGGTGTCGCGTGCACGAGGGGAAGCAATGCATTTAACGGATCATAACGTCGTCGCCGGGCGAAAATGAAAAGCGAACAAGACATAAACTTACCTCAAAATCATGATGTCAATGGTTAGAGCGAACAGCATGAGCAACGTACCGATCGAAAGTAAATTAATGAGATGTTCAATGGCGAATAATCCAGCCAACAAGCCGGAAAGTATTGAAAATAATAAACAAGCACCGGTTTCCCATCGTCGTCTTTGGTTGCCGTTGTGTTCGGTTGCCGTTGTTTTTTGCTGCCGTATTTCTTGTTGTAAATGGTTTAAGCCAAACTTTCCAAATAATTTGAATGTTGAATCGTCCGCATCGGTCGATAGCATCGTTTGCACAACACGCTGTTCAGCATGCAGCATCGCATACAAACTATACACGTGGAAAAACACCAGAGACACATTTTTAGAATGGGGGGAGGGGAGGGAGAGAGAGAACGAGAGTGAACGTCGCACACAAATACATATACAAAAAAACAGCGAACTTATTTCGTTAAGTGCCAAAGATTGTTCTTAATTCGTAAATAAATTGGTGTTTTTGGTTATTGGATGTTACATGAGTTTTGCTCGCTCGTAGCCTAGCATCAATTTTGCTGGGATTTTCGTGTTGGTCGTTGTATACAAACAACAAACTGTTTGTGCTTGAGATTGCGTTCAAAGGAACCAAATACCATAGAAAACTAATAAATAACAAGTTTTCCATTCCATTTCGATGAAACTGAAATGCATTCCAAAAAGTAATACAAAATCAAATCGAATCTGCACGGAACATTTTTGGAAATGGCCAAAAACTCATATGCTCTTTTTGTGTGTCGATAAACATGATTTCGAACATTTTTCGCCCTCTCTCTCTCTCTCTAAAGACAGAGTTATGAATGCGAATCAGTGATGCGGAACATGTCTATCAATAACTTACCCTTGACTACCTTAGCATGCTAATTTTTCAATTAAACAGCAAAAACCCACATTGAATTTCATGCATCTCATTTTCAACACACACTACATACACCACCCCGTTCACATCGCTCAATTGGCACGTTTGTGTGGCAAAAACTTAACCAAAATATGTTTTCTTTTAGTGCCCATTGAGGCGATGCGTAAAGTTAAAATGCTTTGCCTGATATTGAAATCATTGCTTTTCATGCATCACAAACTCTTTCCCAGCCAATTTCCAAGTGGCTCTTTGGTTTTCGCACACCGATGCAAATGAAGAATCTCCATTGGAGATAGAGAAAGAGAGAGTGAGCAAGCATTTTATGTTTGTGGTGCGTACTGCTAGCGCAAATATTTGAAATTGTGCTGCAAAATTGTTTGGCTATATATGTGAAAATTTCAGCCGGGAATCAAACGAAAGCAATGAATTGAATGAGAGACAGGAGAAGAGGTAGATATCGAATGCGGGAGAAAAGAGTTTTTTTTTATTTACCTGCCAACAAGTGCGATGGAGCCAGCAATTAATATAATGAATTTGGTTACCGTTGCCGCGTTGCTGAGCCCATTCGAATCACTGAACACTGCATCGATAACAGATAACAACGGCAAGCTTTTATCCTGAAAAACACACCGACCAAACAAGCATATTCCAAATGTTAATTGATGTTGAAAAGCCAAATATTCCATGAAAAATACTCCCACAATAAAAAAGAGAAAGAGAAAAAGTTGAAACGGGTTCAAAGTGTTGAAACTTACCATTGAATAGATGGGTTGAATGGTCGTTAATGCAAATGTCATGCCGAGCAAACATAGGAGAATGATGGTGTTAATTGATAAAATGGCTTGGTTCACGGTTTTGGTGAAATATTCGATGCTTACTGGTTCCGTGTCACTGGAATATCGCGTTGAAAAGCAAAATGATTGGGCCCATCGGCTCAACAACATCGTATCAAATGCAATAAACATGAATAAAATGATGACAACACCTTTGAAGACGCCATCTACGCCAAAAGCATAAAAACCACCTGTTTCCAAATTCGAATATCCGTTTCCGCGATCCCAATTCGAAATGTCGGCTTTTCCAAATGAATTGAAACGATAAGAAACGTTTAATTTTATTGACACAAAAATGCTATCGCATCGTTGACGAGATTGCAATATTTTTGCCGCTTCAACGTTTGACAGAAAGATAAAGAGACTGAGAGCTCAAATCAGTCAGCGGAAATAATAATCAACAAGCCTAAACATATTTGAAAAATGTGTGTGTTCAATTGAAGCGAAAAATCAAACATTTCGCAAATGACGGTGGAACGTTTCAATTAAATTCCGCGTATGGTAGCTTAAGCTTCAATCAACCGTTTGGTGTATATATTTACCGTTGAAAATGCCGAAAAATAGGAAAATCAGTACAATCAACAAACTCAACGCGATTGATACCACATTGAATATGGTGTTTCGTCCAAGCAACAACAACAACGGAACTGGAATATGCGTATAAAGAGAAAATGTGTGTTACAAAAAATTTTCCGGTGCTTTGACTGAAAAGGTGGTGCGTGGTCATTTGATTTTCAGCTTACCGCCTATTATGATTGGCACTAGAAGTGCCAGTACATCGAAATGTTCGCCTAAATACCATGACATTGGAATGATTTCGGTCAAATGGCCCACTGAGTCGAAAAATAGTGCATCAATCATGATAATCAATGTTTTGGAGATCAGTGCCACAATCACCACATACTCCATAATCAAATTCCATGCAATTACAAATGCAGCGAATTCACCATTACAAACATAAACAAGTTCATACGATGGCAACAACCATTCGATTGCCACTCTATACCTTGTTCTTGTAACATATGCATTATTGTCTATTTGGCCCACTATCGTTTCATCAGACACTGTAGCCACAACACGCGATAATTGTGCCGATTCTTCTATCGTCGATAACACTATCATTCGATTTAATTCTGTGTAAAAAGTACCTAATTTTCGGAATAAAAAAACATGCAAAAAGTTGATTATTCTGATATAATATAAAAGCGAGAATAATTCCGAGTTTTATTTCAAAAGTAAAGGATAAGAGAAATAAGTTTGTATACTCGTAAGATGAACGACGAAAATCTGCTTTTCGTTGGTGCATTGAAATTCAATTTTACCTACTAAATATGCAATTAATGCCGCTATTAAAATGGAGAGAATTGCTGATGGTCCGGCAACGCATTTCACCACATGGCCAATTCCAATGAAAACGATTATTGCAAGCGTTGAACTCAAGCCCGTTTTCACCAAATCAAATAGATTCAGACGCGGTTTATGGTGCACTAACACGGATGCAGTTTTTGGTGTTGACCCATTTTCAGGCACTCGATTCGATAAATCCATTTTTGATGCACTTTAACAAAGTTTAACGTGAGAACCAAAGAAATATTCGCTACGAATGCATCATATTCATTTTGAGCTACCTATCTAATAACGTTAATGCCTAATTTTAATCTAGAAATGCTATTGATTGTCCGAAATCGTATAAATTGTTTTACAATGAATTATTTGCACGAGAAAACGCTGTTAGTCACTCGTTTACCAAACAATTTTGAAAGAATTCCGGAAAATGTGTTTCTAGTGAATAGATATTTGAAAGTTAAATTATAAGCTTTGCCTTTTTCCAAATAGAACAAACGTGAACACGATTCATAATTTTTTTTTCTATGTGAAAATTAAAGCATTCATTAAAATGGCTTTTGCACGACGGTCGCGCGCCGAATCGATTTAATAAAATTGGTTGTCAATTTTGAGCGAAAAAACATCACCAATAAACGCTGAAATTCCGATGTTCCGTCCACAAAAACCGAAGCTCACTCACTGATATGATTTGCCACGATTTGTAAAACGTTCCAAATGAATTTTAGTTAAAATGACTATCTTATCACATATCACCTTATCGCTCTACCATTGTTTTGCTTTCCGTTGTTTCACATTTATTTTGTTTTATGCAATCAATCTACGCTTTATATAACCAATTTTAATAAATTTTTAGTTGATCCATAATTTGTTTTTATTCAATTCAATGGAAATTGATGGTGGTGATTTGTTTATAATAGGCATCAGTTTATCGAAACTATCCAAACTGAATCAAAAAGTATTTGATGCGGTTTTACACCTGAATGAGATTTGTGCAAACATTGATTATGACAACACATTTATGGCCTTCTGCTGATAAAGAAATTCGATCGGCCGTGATATCACAACCATACAGATATAAAATCACTGATAACAAACGATAAAAATACTAACGTCTTAGTTTTGTTGGATGTCAGACGAAATTTGCAGTTGTTGACGTTGATTCACCACGTCTGGGGATTTTTTTTCACGAGATTTTACTAAACTAGTATCTATTTCAACGCATTTTTGGAAAGAACATCAATAAGACATTTTTGATACTTCATCACAGCTGTATAAGAACTGTTTTTTAGCAGAATCAAATCAACTCAACTCTTATCATAAAAATGTTTTATTAAATCATCAATCTCAAGAGCCCTATTGACCAGAATTGAATTCTGAGAATTCTATGATTCAAGGTACTCCATAAGTCTTTCGCATGTGTTCGAATTTCATTTTCTGTTATATATTTTATGCATATTTTACTTAAATAACGTCCCTTTCAGTAATTTGAATCAGCTATGACGTCAGTTGCAATGGAATGACTGACGAGAATAGATGAAGTCAGTATTCATGTCAACACAAACCAAAAGTCCAAGTGTCGAATGACAATAAATCAGAATACATCTCTCCTACTCAGTTACATATCGAATAATCTCTTGAAGTTCAAGAAAATAAAATTTCATTGGAATTGACCACCTCAAACTGTATAACAAACTTTTTATATCAGTGACGCAATATGTTTATGAGTATAATTGAAGTTTCATTCATCGCTCTGGCAACACCGCGATAGTCTCGATCATTAAACGTCAAACCAACAACGCCACACATTTTGACGGGAACTACATTGATGAGTGTATTCAATGCAGTATCAAACATAGTCGTCATTGTGTTGTGTGGTGAAATAATAATAATTATTTGAATTTTAAATAAATAAAAATGTTTCGATTCTGTCAAATAAAATTGTGCAAATATGCCGCTGGCACACAAGACGAAAAAATTGCTTTCTTTCGGTAGATTAAACCCGTATTTAAAAAAATTGTTTTTCTTCCATTTTCAATTGAGTTGTATGAGAGAAAATTACGGTTTTATATGATATATTGGAGTTTCCATAATTAAAAAAAACACAAAATGTTAGATTCAAAATGGAAACTGGTTCGTGGCAGAATTGTTTTTTTTTTTAATTTTGCGGACCATACTGAGAAAACGCTTGCGTTCGAATAGAAAACTACACTGAAACAGAAGTCGATTTGACATTAGCTGTCAAACCGGCAAGATGAACAAGTGCATTTGTTAAGTGAGCGCGTTCACTCCGTGTCAGCAGGTTTTGGACGAATTTCATTTTGCAAATGATGTTGTTGTTAGTGTAATGATACCCCCGCGTCTGGCAAAGAGTCGTTATCAAAGACGTTAACACAGGGCAATGTTTGTGCGTGCGTCATAATCTACAGCTGAGTCATTTTTCAAGTATTGACTGTTGACCAGTGCTTAGAGGCTCAACTAAAAATAAACCAACCATCATTTTCATTTACAATCTAAAAATTACAAAGATGTCGTATTATTAAGTTTGACAACGCAAACAACATAATATCAACAAAGAGTGGCGAAAATAAAGAAACATTTTACATTTTGCGGTTTGAGATTTTGATTGTGCTTATGAAATGCAACAGAACAACAACAACAAAAATGGAGATAGAAAAATTAGATAAACGAATAACCGTAATAATCGCTTATGCTTCAATTCCCCAAACGATAAACCGAGTTTTACAAGAATTCGTTGGTGTTGTTGGGAGTTTTTGTCAACATTGAATTAAATAATGAAGATCCACATGACCACTTACTTCACGAAAAATATACAAATTTTAAGAATAAATATCAAATCAGATGAAAGTCATCATAAAGTTTTGAGTCAATTTTGTTTTAAAATAATAAAACTATTCATTGCTTTATGCTTAATTTTCTTTGGCAGAATTTGATTTTGCATTACCAAGGAACAATAAATTACTCGTGAAGCTAATCACCGGAAAGTAAGTGCGTGTGTATTTAATTATCATTTTGACTTTAAATTGTAACCAAATATCTCATGTATTAAAGCGATATTCCATGCAATGTGTCTTCTAAGTCAAGTGACATAAATATTCCACGTTTGCTCTTTTTTTTCAAAGAAAAAAATATCTTACAATGTTGTTTTAAAATCGTATGAAAAAATTCAAGTATATTATATAGATTTAATTATTTTATTGAATACATTTCAAGGAAAAGCAAAAGCAATCATTGAGGTAGTTTCTCAGAAATCAGAAATATAGCGATAATTGATTGAAGGGTTGAGAAAAACTCATTTTCGTTCCTTTCGACCATCACTATAAGCCAATTTTTGGCTTCCACGATATCAGAACCTTCTTCAAGGTCGTTCAATATCTTTTTGCTGTTTCGCATGTGGTTTTGAAGACAATTTCGACTGATTTCGTAGATTATATTCTCAAATCACTGAGCAATTGAGCATTGGCTTCCATTTTACCGTTTAGTCATAACTTTACTGATGCGTCTCTCTCGCTCGCTTTTTTGTGTCTTTGTTGACGATCTTGAAATTGTTTACACACAGAAACAACTCAAAAGTCGTATTATTAAATACGATTCGACTTGAAAACCAACTTTTCAGTAACTTTTTTTGTGAAACATTCAGTCGTCCAATATACTGTATAGTACTGCCAAATAACTCTTGCGAAAAAAAAGTTTTCGTCTTTTCAATTGGCATGTGTCATTTAAGCCGTTGCCTATTAAGTTGTTTGAGACTTACAACAGCTTTTTATTGTCTCATGTGGAACTTTTCCTGTTAAAATATTCCTGTCTCAATAAACTGAATGATGCTATCCAATTAATTTCAATCTTTTTGGTGTGACAAAACACTCACAATGTGTTTTTAAAATGAAGAAAATGCAAAGAAATGGAATCGTATGTTTGGGACCGGCTGCTGGTTTGTTATTTCTCAAAATGAAATTAAATTTGTATCATTATCACAAATATATTCCAATTCTTGGAAACATGATGTAGGATAGAGCGTTTTTCAACGTTCTTAAATTCAAAAGACACAATTGATGACTCAAACATATGGCATTTGAATTATTGAAATTCCTTTAGGTTGCGGCGTTAGTAACATGACACAGAGTTCCAAAAAAGATGAAGTATTACAAGATGTAATACATTGACAGTTTTGGTTTACATTCTATACAAATGTAAAAATATTCCGCAAATACGCTTTCACGTGCTTTTTGCATGGCAAAGGAATTTAATATTCCCATCACAATTGCGTTTCACGTCTTATTTACCGCAAATTTGATACACTTCATACGAAATCGACTTCAATGAGAAGTTGTTCTTTGTTCAAAACGCAATAGGATCTTCAAAATGAAAAAGTTTTTTTCGTTCATTTTATTAATTCAAGTGGATATTTTCACGGTTTTTGCTGCAACAAATTACATTTGTTCTAATTCTTCGAGCCTAATTTTTGTTTGTGATGATGCACCCATTAGAAATATTGTGAACACTCAATCAAACATTGAAAATTCAAATCAAATTGCAAAACGAGTTGAGAGTCCAATTCCAACGTTTGAAAGTTTCAAAGTTGGAAATCAAATTAGTGAAAATGCTAAATTTATTGACAAAAATGGAGCAATAGGACAAAATAGTCATAACATCAGAGTCGAACGGTCTCCTGATGGTGAGAGTATGGAAAATTCAGATCAGCCGGTACACTCAACAGAACCAAACTCTATTGTTGAACAAACTACTGAAGTACCGAAACCGAGAAACGATTCACCTGAAGTGCAACCGCTTGTTCGAAATCTTGAAGCCAAACCTCAAACTGCAGAACTACGAAGTGAAAAAACAGAAAGTGAAATAACCGAAATTCCGACGGAAAACAAAGCATCGAAAGAAACATCAATTAAGGAAAATAAAAGCCCACCACCTGCAGCTACACTAGTTGAAACAAAGCCTGCTGAAAATTCTTTATCAAACGTTGAATCAAAATCTGAAGTTAAAACTGAACATTCAGCTAGTATTGAAGTGAAACCGGAGCCTGACTCCAAAGAAAATAAACGTGAGCCCACAGCTGAAGCAAAAACTAACGACAAATCAGTCGAAAAAACACCAAGTATCACTGATGAATCAAATTTAAAATGTTTCTTTGGTGATGCTAAGACAATAGAAACGTATCCAAGGAACAATTTCGTCTATATCAGTTACGAAAATTGTCACTCTCCGCGACTGCCAACAACTTTTAATACGTTTTCAGCGTATAAAAATCTAAAAGTATTAAACATTTCTAATATTGGTTTAGAAACTTTCGAGATTCAAGGAGCAGATCATTTGGAGTCAATTTTTGCATCGTATAACAACTTTACAGAACTTCCTCTTGGATTGTTCTCGTTTAATAATTCGATCATCCAACTTGATCTATCTCATAATCGTATAAATCGAATTGATCCAGTTGCATTTGCTGATTTGGTGCATTTAGAAAATCTGAATCTTTCGTGGAACAGTCTCATCACAGTTGATCCAATACTTTTCGTCAAACAAGCTAACTTGCAAGATTTAGATCTTTCAAACAACCAATTTGCCATACTTGATGCTCAACTCTTTAATCAACTATTGAAATTAAAAAAACTTAATTTAGCAAATAACCACTTCAATAGAATTAATTTTGAGCTATTTTCTGGGCTTATCAATTTAATTCAACTTGATTTGAACGGAAATCAACTGATTGATGTGAATGGATTTAAAATCGACTCATTTCCCAAGCTAGAGACCTTTGGTATAAACGATAATCACTTCAATTGCTCGTATTTGGAAGTGTTTTTAGCAAAAGTGGCTCCCAAGTCTATTGATTTTGTGAATGGTCAACTGGCACACGGTGCCAATATTCACGGTGTTTCGTGTATAAAACCTGATGGATCAATCGAAGGAAAATTACATACCATGGCTAATAATATTGAAGACGTTGTATCGACAATGAAATTATCATTGGCACTGCTTTGCCTTACAATGTTCGCGCTCATCATCTTTATTGTGGCCATTCGACGAAAACTAAACAAAGCCACGGGAAGAACTGCTATTTATGAACTCAGTGAGGATGTTGATGGACGAAAAGAGGGAACGGCTGTTATTTGTACATAGTAGGAAAGGAGTTGCAATGGGGAATGGTGAAAAAAGTCTAAAGTAATCTGATTTGATGGATAAAAGAAACATAATAAAAATTGAATAAGTACGCAGTTTTGGGAATGGAAAATTATACCGCTTAATCTCCTTTATCTCATTCTCATGCAATCCGTTTTGCTCTCCCATTTCCTCAATACCAAGCGTAATAATTGTTGTCGATTTCCAATCTATTTTTCTGTAGCGTATCAATTTTTTATAAATGGTTGAAAGTGAAAAAAAAACATTCCATTCGTTGATAATCCAAATTTAATTTGGATTTGATTTGCTTGTTTATTGGTTATTCAATGTTCATTGCTGTCAGTTAATAAATGCATAAATATTTACGTTTGCTAATTTCCTTTTTGCCACTAACATCATTTTATGGGAACATTTTTTTATTCGGTCAACATTTCCACAGTAAATGGGTGATTTGATTGGATCGCAATTTAATATAAATGAAATTATTTGTATTTTTTGTTACCGTCTGCGAAATAAATGTATGGTTTGTTTTATCATTGTTCACAAAATAAATCCGCTTTCATTCGGTCGTTTTATTTGAATTTGATATTTGGTGATGGGTACAAAAGCAATGCAGGGTTCGCATCAATTGATTTCAATCGACATTTAATTGCATCCTTTTGAACTAAGACCAATATGTCATCGTGTATAAAAACAGATTCCTTTTGCGCGACCCTGTGTTATGAATTAAAAACACAATTTTACCTAACACCAAATTTATGGATAATTGATACCTAATTTAAAATATTTGTAATATTCTACGGATTTGATGGAAATCAACAATTCAAATCGTTTTTTTTTTTTTGGTGAACAAAATATAGCTCAACTTTAATAATTGATTTGAATCGCTATAAACTCACCTTAATTCAGCAAATAGTAGCATAAGTTTAAAAGTATTTTAAAGAGAAAATTAAATTCATTATAATCGCTAATAGAGGATGGATATTTAGAAAAAATAATTGTTACAAAATAACTCCAATAAAAATGTAAGATCAGAGAGATGTTATTGGGATATTTTCATAAAAAAACTGTGTTTCAATCATATAAAATAAAAATCTATAGAATACAATAACAAAATAAGTACGTATTCTCGAAATCGAATATATTTTTTTCTCAACTTGCACTGCAAACATAATTCAGTTTCATACTTACGATTGTAATACCAAGCGCTGTGAAAATTACTTTCGTTAGATTTCAAATTATCATAGTGCTAACAAAATTCCGGTTAATTTTATGCTCTTTATTGAATAAACCAAAAGAGTTTACACTGAGTTAAATCAAACATTGTTAAATGTGAACCTTTCGCTATCAACATTCTCTGACATTGCTCACGAGCCTACATTTTCCATTCCAAAACCGAAAAAAAAGATGAATGACTTATATCCTAAATATGTTAAAAACTAACATTATATGGAAATAATTATGAACTAATCGGCTAAAAATCGTAATTCAAGTCTAAATTATTTAATAATAATTTTTACTCCTCATTCAAATTCTAAATTCGACATCTTCAGTGCGCTTTGGAATCACGTCTGCCTTTGCGTTATCGTCAAAAGCATTTCAATTATACAAAGAGTATAAAAGAAGAGCGAAAGTAGCCGCTTTTGACTAGCTGATGATTTGACCGCCGACGCAGATGACTCACCTAAGGAGAAAAAATGCAAGAAACATGAAGCAAAATTATAATGTAATGATGATTTTTTATCGCCTACTCGAAACCGTTTAAAATAATTTAAATTCACGGTTTTGGTAATAATATGTTTCAGCAGATCGTAACCACTACCAGGATTTTTGAAAAATATTGAGGTTCAAACATTCATCAAAAATGGATTATACTCTTTTCATTTCATTTAAGTTAAAAGTTAGTGTACAAGAAATTCCATGTATTTCAAAAAATCTTGGTGTTATATTGATTTTCATTTTTTAATTGCAGTTCAATGTCCTCAATCCTAGAATATTCATTAAACAAAGCCAACTTACTGCTGATAACATGCAAAGTGACTGTGGATGGTGCGCTGTTCGAGGGATTGCATGAGTAATTGCCCGAATGATATTTTCTGGTGGACTCGATGAGCAATGAACCAACCTTCAAAGTGAAAAATGGTTAAATTAAGATTCCATAAGAAAATGCATTATTGTCAACACCAAATCTACAATGTCTTGAAACTAACCGAATTTTGTCTTTGAATTGCATCGTCCAGTGGTGATTGAACGAGGTCGTTGAGTTCGAATTTGACACCATCATTGTTCCTTAAAACGTTTGATTTAATCAAGTGCATTTTGTATCCAAGTTTGTTGTCGGCATGGATTGGTTGTGTATCATGATACCACATGATGTACGTGGGCGGTTCAATAGCGCCATAAATGATGCACTGTAAATGAACTGTGCTGCCGGTTTTCACGTACCGATCCGAGTCTCCGATGAGTTCGGTTCGTGGCACTGTAAAATGCAAAACACGTTTCAATATAAAGCAAGCGTTTGCCCAGCTCTCGATGTAATTAAACGGCTTATTGTTTTTCAACACTTACCGACGACATGCAAATAAGCGCGTGCACTGACTTTTGGTTCGGTGGACACTTGGCATTCATATAAACCAACGTCTCTCGGTTGCACGTATTTAATTTGCAGCACCCATTGTTTTAACTCCTCTTTGAAATATGCCTGAAATCTTTCGTCCGCTATAAATGTTATCCTGTGATAATAAAAGAAATAGGGAGGTTTGTGTGTGAAAACACACAATTTTTGTAGCAAATCATTTTCATTTTGGTAGAAAGGCAAAACTGTCCCAAAGGAAACAGGCAAAAATTAGTGAAACAAAACTGGACAATCCGATTACTTCGCTCTCCAACTACAACTCTAGTTGTAATCATATTTATGTGCCCCATCGAAATGCATGCCACACTCTTTACAACACTCTTTGCCACAGCAATAATCTAATTGAAGTCGACTTTATTACTATTATCCCATTCAACAGAATTGCCACCGCTACACTTCTTCTCAACGGGAATTGAATCACTACGTGTTAACACATCGCGCGCAAGAGACCACTCTCACTCATTCACTTCACTCACCACCAGTCACCAGAGTCAGTGCCATGGCTCAACTCTCATGGGAAATTTATACCGAGCATATTAACTGTATCGGTTTAATTATTTTTAGTCTTCATTCAATGCACTCGATGCTCATTTGTTCATCATCATTCGCTCTCACAACAAATGAGGTATACACAGGTCGAGAGATAATTTTCTTTCGTTTGCGAGGGAAAATGAGATTTGTTAAATTATTTATCAAAAAACTAATATTTTCTAAGAATATGACTTGGTCTCTTTTTTTTTAATTTTGGCGTTGGAAAAAAAGTATTTTCCAAAGTACAAGTATGATATCATTAGAACGTTCTCCATGTGAAACACGTACGTAGGAGCTAGCGCCATCTATTATTAGTCAACTCGTCATATTTGAAGCAATTGAAGTAATCAAGGATCGAAAAAGGTTTCAAATCGGTTTGACGTTTCTCATACAAACCGATTTCGGAACGGTTTCACTGCTTTGCTCTCTGTTCATCGGAGCAAACCGTATCAAGCGGAATGTTCTGAAAATGGTTTGTATGAGCAACGTTAGAATGCGTTGTCATTGTGTTAGTATTGTATACCAATATACGTAAGTATAAACGTTTCTATGTGCCATACAAACCATTTTCAGAACGTTCCGAATGGTTCGGTTTGTTCACATACTCGAACCAAATATTCGATTTGGTTTGGTTTCGATCCATAGAACTAATGTAAATGAATGTTGTGTTGCCTCCATACACTCGTTAAAGAAACATTAGAACTCAATACATCTATTCATATTATCGAAAATCAATTGAAGTAATATCAACATTTTGCCGAAAGACGTCGCTAGATGGCGCAAGTTCTTATATATTGCGGAATTTTCCTAAAGCATTAAAACAATTCAGTCCTGATGTCTATCTATTTGGTTTCGTTCGTGGTATTTTTTTTCATATTTCTCCGCTTCGTTACTGAGGTTTTCTCATGGGTTATAAAAGCCATCTTCTCATTTTCTGTGCCTTTATTTAAAACTTTTTTTCCACATTTTTCTTTCACATTTCCGTGTCGGTAACATAGCAAATCATCCCATTTGATGCAAGGGTGAATATATTTGAATCATTCTTGAAAATCTTTACAGAAATTCATCATTTTTCAAGGGAGTGCAATGCTTTTCGTGTTGAATTGTCTATTGTCTTTAAAGAACTCATTATTTTGGGAAATTATTTTGTTCACAAAAAAGTTCATCCGTAAATTTTGAATATCATCTTAAGGTTTGCGTAATTTTCTGGTGAAAATTTAAAATACATGTGTGTGTCAACACAGTAGCTGGTATAACAACAAAAAGGCAATATAACATGACACACATTATACTGTATGTTTCTACAATAATTGTGGGCATTGCGTCAACATTAATGTCAGAATCATCGACTGACGCATTTTATCAGTAAATACAAAATGTAGATGCTCGAAATCCGAGTGATATCATAACAATAACCATGCAAAAGGTGTATCTTGTTGTTTTCATCACGGCAAGAAATGTGCGCCTGTACACAGGAGACAGATTTTACGAGCCGACTGAACAAATATGAATTGAACAAATGAGAGAAGTAATAGGAAAGCTAGTGTAAGAAGGAAAGACCAAGAGACAGAGGGAGAGGGAGAGAGATTTCAATAGAGGGAAAAAAGGGACAGAACGACGAGTAGAGCATACGACAGCAATGGTACTGTTGAGTGATACAAGGGGAATAAACCGTATTTAAAATGATGTTTGTTGAATAGACTGTGTGCAATTTCATTAACTGTGTGACAAAAGGGAAAAATTAGCTTGAGAAGTGATGATATGTGACGCTTGTGTTTGAATTACGACGACATTACATGTTATGACAGAGCATAATCGTATAAGATATGATGGTGTTTCTCTGTGAGAGCGAGAGAGAGAGAGTGCGAGTGGGAAGTAAAAGAGACGACGAGCACATCCGGCTGAAATGTATTTTGATGAATGTGTTTAGTTCAGGCAAACGGATAGCGAAATGGTAAACAGAGTGAATGCATGCAATCGCACGAACATTAGCATCAACCAGTAGCAATAAAAGTAAATTTTCATTTGGCAATATAGAGATCAAGCGAGTGAGCGAGCGAGAATGATATTGTGAGTGAGTGAGTGAGTGTGTGAGTTGAGTGTTGGTTTTGGTTTGAGTGTCGCCTCTCTGTATTGGATCTCAGGATATGCATGTGATTTGGTAAACTGTTTTAAATTACCTGTCAACACTCAGTATATGATCGTCACGTACACGCACCCAGGATACAGATTTGTTACCCAATTGTTTTACCTGCAAACGAAAAAGCATAACAAATTTCAAATTAGCTCAAGCAACAACACCAACGAGAGCAAAAAACAACAAGACCGAAAAAAATAATGTGAAAGCATCCGCAATTCAATTTTATGTGTTGGCAATAACATTTTATGACGGACTTTGCCAACGACTATTTACCAAAAATGTACCATTCATAAGCCATCGACAAACATGCACAAGCACATCACATTTCATGTGTGATACAAATTTTCGTTCGATTTTCATTTTGCATGCAAACGGCACACATGCATGACAAAATTAATTCAATTTGATCAGCCGTCCGAACGGGATATCCGCAGCCATGGCCAACGCACTCCCAATAGCATTTGCATCATTTGCATTCATGAGCATTCCATTGGAATTGTAATTATATTACAATATAAACTGTTTGAACATGACCTATCTGAAGCCGTTTTCGAGCCTTCGGATGCCCATTTTTGAAAATGGAATGCTAAAAGCCATCACAAATTTTATCGTTCGAAACATCCAACGTAATTTGTGTAGGCAGTCACATTGACGACTTTACTATACTCGCATTTTGATGAAATCAAAGTTGCCGTTTTCGATAAAATGCTTTGGCCGCCTCCATAACTTGATTTTAGAATTAATAATTTTAGATGAATCTGCAACGCAAACGTCATTTTCAATTTCGACAGTCATCCAAATTGGACGGATTTCATAGCATTTCGCTATGAAAATGACATTCACTAATGTAATGGTTTTTTTTTCACGGACATTTTTACAGTTTTTGCAATAATTCGCTCTGTGACTTTGAACCATTGGCATTTCCAAGATAGTTCATCAAACGGTGAACCTTACAAAAGAGGATATATGAGAAATCTTTTCAAGTGATTCTTTGATCTTGTAGAAATATTTGATAGCAGCATAAAAGCTAGTTTATACACTGAAAAAAATGTTTCATAAAATAGGATGCAAAACTACGAAACGTTTCATTGTTTTGCAGCCAATTTCACGAAAAAAATTCTGTGTAATCAAAGTAAAGTATAGTATTTTCTAGCATTTAAGCAATCAATAAAACGTCAACGACCTGCATCAATCCAACGATGCGGCAGTCATGTAATGGTAATTTGGTTATAAACAGAATATATATGTACGGCCTTCACAAAGATCTTCTGTTCTGTGAAAGAATATAACATGTACAATATTCATTCAATCGTCGCTTCAACACCGTCTAGGTTTATTCGTTTTATTCTATAACAACAATTCTGATTTTTTTTTGTTCGCTGGTTTTAGATGATATGAAATGTAAAAATTCTTGATTTTTCCATCAAATTCCAATTCTGATATCAAAATCCATTCTTTAATCAATTCCATGAAGCGCAAGCGTATCGGCTCCAAAATGTGTGAGTATGTTTTTTTAGACGGAATAGAATATAAATTGGGCCGAAACTCAGTGAAATATTCATTAC